CGATGGCGATGCTCGTGTTCCTCGCGGTCATTAATAAGAGCGGGCAGGCGGCGCCGGCCGGCTCCGAGCGCCCTTGCTCGCGCCGGTGGGGGGTGGGTCGTCGGGGCTGCGAGCTCTGCGCTGGCGGGTGGCCCCACCCCCTCCCCCAGGCCTTGATATGGGGAGCGTTTAGGGTTAGGTCGGGCATGTCCTCCTACAGGCGGGTTTGGGAATCATTAAACGTATTCGTCGTTCATGTCTAATCGTGCTCATTTCAAACTGTGCTCTCTTCTAATTGTTCCCGGCGCCGTAGTGGCCAGGAAGAGGCCCAGGATATAAGGATTAGAAATGAAAGGATCTTACCCCCCAAATCAACGAACTTTCGAAGCATTAGAAAGCAATGTGTAGTAAAACATACTTAAAAAATAGTCAAACGTATTGGGCGAACGGCCATGCCTGTTCAGGAGGCCGCTCCACTTGCCCCACCCGGACCTTCGAAGTGTTCCCCTTTTCAGGCGTGCGGGCCCTGGCGTTCTCGGCCCTTCCCAGGGGAGCGGCTTCTCGTCCCACATCGTTGTTGGATGGCATGAGGGGCAACGTTTAAGTCGGGCCTGTCCCTATACAGGAGGAGTATTCAAAAATAGTTTTAAAAAATAATAGGGGGACGATTTTTGGACTATTTTTGAATATGCTATGGGCATTTTTCCGGTACTTTTTATTTTCCGTCCAAAACCCCTCTGTAGGGGGACACGCCCGACTTAAGGCAACGTCAGGGGTGATTTGCCCCAGCGGGGGAAACATCGAGCTGGAGTCGGCGGTAGATCGCCGATGGATCGGCGATGGGCCCCCGATGACGAATCCGCACGCTCGTGGGCTGGGCTCGGCTATCGGGGCCCCTATCGGCGATGAGTGGGCGATTTGGGGTCGAGGCCTCCTCCCCTAAGCCTATCCCACCCTAACGTTGCCTCTGAGACCAGGGCGTCGCAAAACAGACAAACATTCAGGACGGCTATTCTGGACGGGACGGTAACCGCCCCCCCCCCCCCCCCCCTTGAATTCGCTGGGGGGGTTGGGCACGTGCTGTCGGCACGGGTGGAGGGGGGGGTTGGAGGAGGTGGGGAGGAGGATGAGGAGGCGGAAGAGGATAAAACGGGGGTCGGGACTAGGCAAGCTCAGTCGGAAGGTTTATCACCCCCCCCTTTATACAGACCCCATCCAGAATAGCTTTACGCAAATCTCTGCGTCCAGACGCCGCTCTCGGGCCCACGGTCGATCGAACAACGCACCACTACGAACATCTGGCCCTGGGCGGGTGGAGATTGCTGGGTGCCTGGGCGACGAAGCAGTGGCGTCGTCGGCGAAGGCCTGCCTCGGCCGTCCTCGAGGGATGGGGGAGGATCTCTCGGGGATCGACAGCTCCTTGGACGGGTTCGGCAGTGTCTGTGCCTCAGGACGCCTCTGGGGACATCGGGGGGCTGATGGCACGATGCTCCCCGCCCTCCCGTCTCCACCACCCTCCGGGGGGAGGATCGAGCCTCGAGGGTCGAGCGGGCTTTGGGGCCCCGTAGGGCCCCAGGGATGTGGGGACGCGGCGGCGGGAGAGCCGGTCTCGACCGCCCCCTGGGCGATGGCGCGAGTGCCAGGGCAGAACACCGCACAAACAGGATTTCCCACAGGCTCCGCGCGGATCTCTGGCATCGGCGCCAGAAGCGCCGCCAGGGGGGCCCCAGCGCCGATCAAAGAACCTCGCGCGGACCTCGAGAGATGCAGCCAGCAAAAGGGGGGGGGGGGCTCCGCCGCGCAGGCTCGCAGGCCCGGCCTGCTAGGACGCCAGCTATAAGCCCACGCCGCTCCTGGCCGGGCACGCCCCCGCAGAGGCCTCCCAGCAAAGATGGGGTCCGAGTAGACGTCGTCGGAGGGTCGCGCCGCATCGCCGATGCATCGGCGGACCCATCGGCGATCCTCCGGCCCCGTCTACTCGAACCCTCTATCTGAGAGGCCCAGACCCCTGCCATCGCTCGGACGTCCAGTCACCCCGCATTTTTTGGTTTCGTGCGTGCTGTGCTTGGAAGATGGTCCGAGATCCTCCAAGATGGTCCAGACTTTCAGCCGCTGGCCTCGCCGAGAAAGATTGCACATAAAGATTGCGGACGCCCGACCGATGCTGAGACCCTGGGCCCACGATGTGGACGGATCTTGACCCCGGAGGAGGGGAAGGACGAGTTTTCTTCCCAGCCGAGAGCTGAGGGGGAGGGGCCTCCTTCAACATTAAAGACCCCATGAGTTTACGGTGCTGCATCTTTCTCTCGACGTTGGATCTTATGGCCCGGGCTCGGCCAGGAAGGCTCGTGCACCGATCCTGACCGCTCCAATGTGGCGTTGGGTGTACGGCCAGCAACGTCCGGCTGCTGGCATGCCCGAGGCGGGCCCGGGCACATCGGCTCAGCCCACGTGGGTCCCGGTGACCTCCTTGACGAAGCGGTCGTGGAGCTGCTTCGCGAGGCTGGCCTCTCGGGGCGGCCACAGGGGGGGGAGGGGGGGGGGCAGAGGGGGGGTAGCCAAGCTAGGTGCGCTCGCGTCATATCTGACGTCCTACCCCTCCCTCCCATCCCTTACCATGGCGCTGATTTTCTCTATCCGCGGACGCGTGTCGTAGCGGACCTGTGGCTCCGCGCGCGCGTGCGTAGTGGGTGGTGGTGCACGTGCGTGCGTGCGTGCGTGTGTGCGTGGTTGTGGTGGTGGTGGTGGTGGTGGTGGTGGTGGTGCTGGTGCTGGTGCTGTGCTGGTGGTGGTGCTGGTGCTGGTGGTGGTTGTGATGGTGGTGGTGGTGGTGGTGGTGGTGGTGGTGGTGGTGGTGGTGGTGGTGGTGGTGGTGGTGCGGCGCGGTGGTGGCGGGCGGATGGGCGCGCGAGAAAGAGGCCCGCGCTGGGGCGAGAACGCCATCCTGAACGACGGAGGCCAAACACCGATCCGAAAATGAGGCCCACGCTGCAGCGGGAGCACGATTCGGAACGATTCGAGAGCAGAAATGAGGCCGGCGCCTCAGCGAGAGCATCATACAAAAAACGCAAGCGAAAACCCGTTTCCCGGGAATCCTGTAAAAAAACAGTACGCGGGGGGCGTTCGGCCCGAAAATGACGCCGGCGCCTCAGCGAGAGTCGTTTCCCGGGATTTCCCGGGCATCCTGTGTAAAAAAACAGTATGCGGAGAATGCGCGGTCATCACCCGGACGCCATCAGGGGAAGAGGGAGAGTATTTTCATATCAAGCTAGTTGCGCTCGCGTCATATCTGACGTCCTACCCCTCACCTCCCATCCCTTACCATGGCGCTGATTTTCTCTATCCGCGGACGCGTGTCGTAGCGGACCTGTGGCTCCGCGCGCGCGTGCGTAGTGGGTGGTGGTGCACGTGCGTGCGTGCGTGCGTGCGTGTGTGCGTGGTTGTGGTGGTGGTGGGGGTGGTGCGGTGGTGCTGGTGCTGGTGCTCGTGCTGGTGGTGGTGCTGGTGCTGGTGGTGGTTGTGATGGTGGTGGTGGTGGTGGTGGTGGTGCGGCGCGGTGGTGGCGGGCGGATGGGCGCGCGAGAAAGAGGCCCGCGCTGGGGCGAGAACGCCATCCTGAACGACGGAGGCCAAACACCGATCCGAAAATGAGGCCCACGCTGCAGCGGGAGCACGATTCGGAACGATTCGAGAGCAGAAATGAGGCCGGCGCCTCAGCGAGAGCATCATAAAAAAAACGCAAGCGAAAACCCGTTTCCCGGGAATCCTGTAAAAAAACAATACGCGGGGGGCGTTCGGCCCGAAAATGACGCCGGCGCCTCAGCGAGAGTCGTTTCCCGGGATTTCCCGGGCATCCTGTGTAGAGAAAACAGTACGCGGAGAATGCGCGGCCATCACCCGGACGCCATCAGGGGAAGAGGGAGAGTATTTTCATATTGAGTAATTGTGAATCCGCGTGCTGCTGGTTTTCCTGGCGCCGGCCGTGTACCAAGGAAAGCGCCCGGCGGCGGTGCCGAAAGCAGCTGCGTGCACTGCATGCAGCAGACTTTCGCACCCCCCCTTCTCCCGTGCCCTGACTTTCGTCCGGCCCGCGCCTTGGCAGCCCCCGTCTTCCCCCAGAACGGGCCGTCGATGCAATTTCTGAGCGTGTTCAGCGTTGGCGGCAACCGGACCTTCTGCTTTCCGATATCTTCGCCAGAGGGCGCGTACCTTTGACGGGGGTGGGGCAGAAGGTCGACGTCGTCGTTTTGGAAGTGCTGAGGCGCTTCTGGAGATTCTCATCGCCACGGCTGGACGCAGCTCGGAAAACTTGTCAGGATGGTCCCTCGGGAGGGGCCCAGGGGCCAGCTTTGAGAGGACATTGATCGGGGGAAAAGGGGCGATGGGGAGCGGCACGCGAAGCAGTAAACCATGTCGGTGTGTGCGTTCTGCGCGTTGTAGCTCTGGTTGTTCTTGGCGTCGGGGCGCTTGTAGATGTCCCGGCGGTCCCCGTAGGAGCGGCCGTACCTGTGGAGGTGCCACTCCAAGAATGGCATGGTCTCCACGTGCAGGAACTCGTTCTCGAGCGCACCGCCGATGATGTAGGAGTACCGGACGCCGACTGCCCCCGCGTTGGAGGAGACCTTCACAGTGCCGCCCGGCTTCACGAACGAGCGCAGCGCTCGGAAGAAGAGCCGCATCAAATTCTCATGCCGCCAATTCACCTGAAGGGGAATTTGGGGCACGCAAATAAATAGACACGGATAACCCGATTCCCCATATTGTCCCATATTTTCTGGGTTTCTGTCTTCCCCCCCCACTTCGCATATTTTCCCATATTTTCGGGGGAATCGACGATTTATTGTGTCTGTGTATTCTTTCCCCTCCTGATCACCATGGGGTGACCGTCGAAGAACCCTTGGATCGCCCCAGAGTGTGGAAAATTGTAGTAGACAGCGCCCAGGCTGCCCGCCATGCCCTCGAAGCGGGGGTCGATGGCGATGCGCGTGCAGTCCACCCCGTGGTAGACCTCTGCGTGGTGCTCCTCCAGGGTCTGGATGCTCTGGTCGATCTCCTTGTACCGCTCCCGCAGAGTCTCGAGCTCCTCGAAGGTGGTGGCGATGACGCGGCCCACATGTCCCAGATCCTTGCGGTGCGCCGCCAGGAGCAGCGAGAAAGTCAGGTTGGCATCTCCGAACACGGCGGAATCGGCGAGTGGGTCGATGAGCTCCAGCCTGTTGAATCTTCCCATTGTCTTCAGGCCAGGCCCGTTGGGCATCGCTCCGAACGTGGTGTCTTCTTCGGGCATCTCGGCCGTGGCCGCGATCATGAGGTCCTCCAGCGGCACGGTCCCGTCGTACCGCTCTAACACAAACCTCAGGTCCTTGTGGGTCAGGCCCTGGAGCTGCTTGACGGCCGCCGCGTCGAGCTTCCACCTGGCCTTGAAGGTCGTGATCACGTCTACCTTCGTGGGGAGGGCGGAAGAGGGAGCGGACGGGGGGAGTGGGGGGCTGGGAGGGGAAGGGACGACGGAGGAGGGATGAGGAGGGAGAAGGGGCAGGGGGAGGAGGAGGATGGAGAGGGAGCAGGCGGGGGAGGAGGACAAGATGACGAGGGCAAGAGAGGGGAGGATGAACAGAGTAAGCCCAGCGCGCGCCACTAATGCTGCAGTGTGCCCGCCCGTCCGAGGTCCTCTCCTCCCAGGCCGATGGTCGTTCCACATCGGCGAGCACCCGCTGGAACGTTGCACAGAGGGAGCCTAGCAGTTTTTTTCCTTGAGCTGGCTGCGACGGCGAGAGCTGCCCAGTGTGGCTTGAACTGCGCATCAAGGACCATACCTAAGATTCGACGGCGCGACGGTATACACCATAGTGGGCATGCGAAGGCGTCGCCCTCCGCCCCACGCAACTGGCAGAGGCTCCCAGAAGAGCGTGCACGGCGCCGGCAGCGAGAACACCAGCCTGCGCATAGAGGAACAAGACAACTGCATAACACACAACTTCAAGCAGGTCCGCGCGGATGTCTTAAATCGGCGCTGGATCCCCCTCACTGGCGCGCCAGGGGCGGCGCCAGGGGCGGCGCCAGGGGCGGCGCCAGGGGCGGTGCCAGGGGCGGCGCCAAGGGCGGCGCCAGAGGCGGCGCCAGAGGCGCCGCCAGGGGGCCCGGCGCCGATCCAAGAGGTCCGCGCGGACACAGAGAAATTAGGTATCTCGTTTCTTGTCGTCCGAGCGCAGCCAGCGTATGCTCGCAGAAGAGCGCGCACGGCGCCGGCAGCGAGAGAGCACCAGCCCGAGGAGGAGGAGGAGGAGGAGGAGGAGGAGGAGGAGGAGGAAGAGGAGAAGGAGGAGGAAGAGGAGAAGGAGAGGAGAGGAGGAGTAGGGAGGAGGGGGGAGGAGGAGGAGGAGGAGGAGGAGGAGGAGGAGGAGAGGAGGAGGAGGGAGGATGAGGAGGAGGATGAGGAGGAGGCGAGGGACGAGGACAAGGAGGAGGAGAATATGGTGGAGGAGGAGGAGGAGGAGGAGGAGGAGGAGGAGAGGAGGAGGAGGAGGAGGAGAGGAGGAAGGGGAGACGGAGGAGGCGGAAGAGGAGACGAGAGAGGAGGAGGAGGAGGAGGAGGAGGAGGAGGAGGAGGAGGCGGAGGAGGAGGAGGAGGAGGAGGAGGAGGAGGAGGAGGAGGAGGAGGAGGAGGAGGAGGAGGAGGAGGAGGAGGAGGAGGAGGAGGAGGAGGAGGAGAGGAGGGGAGGAGGAGCGAGGAGGGGAGGAGAGGAGGAGGAGGAGGGGGAGGAGGAGGAGGAGGAGGAGGAGGAGGAGGGGAGGAGGAGGAGGAGGAGGAGGAGGAGGAGAGGAGGAGGAGGAGGAGGAGGAGGAGGAGGCGAGGAGGAGGAGGAGGAGGAGGAGGCGAGGAGGAGGAGGAGGAGGAGGAGGAGGAGACGCGCGGCGCCGTTGATTCAGAACGAGGACCCAACACACAGGAGAGCACCAGCCCGAGGAGGTGCGCACGCTCACCGCGAAGTCTCCCCTCCCCGGCGGCTGCCGTGGAGCCGCGCGGGTGGCGCGTGGAAGCCGCGGCAGCCGCTGGGCGGCGTGCGTCCACGCGGCTCGGCGCGCGGTCGGCCCGGCGTTCTGGCGCACGGCCTCAGGGCAGAATGCATCCCAGCACGGGTCTAGGGGTCAGCTTTCGAGGGGGCTTGATGAGACGAGCCACAGGGCGAGGGACAAGCGTGGCGGCCTCCAGCGGTCTCCCTCACGAGCGGCGAACGTATCAATGTCCACGCCCCTGGCGTCTGGATTCTGGCGCGCGATCCCGCGAATACGCGGTCGCACGGATTCTGTTCCGCGGGGCATCCGCGAAACACCGCTCCGTATCCACGGGGTCGCGGCTCAAGGCGCCCACGGATACGTTGGCGAAAAAACATCGCCTACGAATTCGCTTCGACGCGCCCCGTCGAGTGCGCACCAGCACGGGTTCCTCCGCAGCCGCCGGAAAAAAAAAGCAAGCGCTGGGAGCTTCAGGCTTGAGGATCCTGAGGCGCAGAGGAGCTCCCCAGGCGAGCTGCCAGTTCTGGAACCAAACCTCCCCCAAGGCCTGTAGCTGGTGGAGGCTTGAACGTTTAAAGCATAAGCTGTGAGGGTTCCAAATCTCCAGGCACACAGCAGGCGAGGAACTCCCTCTCGGTATACCGATTTCGACAAGGAGGCGCCTCCGACCCCGCATCCACTGGAAGCTCTCGGCACCTGGCCCGGGCACACCAGTGGGCGTCTCTAGCGGGAGGCCAGACTCGCAGAGGAGCCGCCCACGACCAGGGTAGCAAAATGGATGCATCGATCATCCGATGTGTGCCCGACGCCAGAGCGGCAGCCGCATCTGGACAACGATCCACGCTCCGCCCCTGCAGCAACTGAGCACTCGTCAGAGGAATGTGTGCGGCACCTGGGCGAGCACCACACGCCGGGTTCCAGGAATCCTGAAGCCGAAAAATGATGTCATCGCTTGGGGGCGCGTGTTTCACCTCCGCCGCCTTCCGCCGCCCTTCCGCCGGCGGAGGCGGCCTCGTTCTGCTTCCGCCGACCTTCCGCCGAGGAAGAGATGATAACTCATTCGATCCTCGGAGGCGAGGCCCTTTTTGGACCGCCCCATCTCGTGAGGAAACATCTGTGTCCATCCGTGCGACTCTTCGGAAAAATGGGCGCACCGCGCCAGGCAGCAGCGAGACCTTGAGAGAACCACCATTCCCCTTTCCACGTAAGGAGTTGAAGACGTTCTTTTGCAAGCGCGCAAGCTCGGCGCCGCGGCGAGCGGCAGACCTTGACAGACGGGACGTGCGATCCGTGCGTGGTCCCTTCTGGGCACTTCGAGCCTCAGGGTGATCCGTCGCGAAAGCCTGAAGCTTACAGTCGGGGCGCTGACCTAAGGAACCCTCCTTTTTTTCCATAAGTTAACCTTCGATTTCCTGTCGAAAACATAAGGAAAGCCTGAGGCAAGCTGTGAAACACTTAAGGAACGCGGAGCCCCTCCCCAACGAAAAGGGTTCCTTCGTCGGGGCCCCGACTGTACTTCGTCAGGCAGGGGGGCGGGGGGATGACGCGGGACGACGAGGAACGGAAGATGAGAGGGAAGAACCTGATACGGATGGGGAGGGCGAGAAGGAGGGCCCGGTTTGTAGAGGGGGTCTGCCCAGAGCAATTTTCGACGGATGCTGGTTCGACGGGGCAGTGCGGGAAGCAGCATGCGATTAGCAAGCTGGTCCGCCTGCCTTTCGAATTGGTGCCACTGGATCCCTGCGAATTGTGCGCGGGCTCACGCTGACGGCCTCCTCGTGCGAAACAGCACTTTATGCCTGGCGGGCCCCGATGGGGGGGATAACGATGAGCAGGAGGGAGGGAATGAGGGAATCAGGAGTAAGAGACGGAGGAGGAGGATGATGATGAGGAGGAGGAAGAGGAAGAGGGGGATGAGGAGAACGGGGAATAGGAGGATTAGGAGGGGCAGTAGGATGATGATGATGATGATGATGATGATGATGATGATGATGATGATGATGATGATGATGATGATGATGATGATGATGATGATGATGATGATGGTGATGATGATGATGAGGAGGAGGAGGAGGGCAAAGAGGAATGAGAAGAGGAATGAGAGGAATAGGGTCCTGAGGGTCCTGATAAAGTGGGCCGTCCATTGGCCCATCGCACGCTGGCGACGACGGAGGGGCTCAGCCTATGCTGGCCTCCTCCTCACAAGAAGTGGAGGAGCAGGAGGAGGCCGATGATTATGAGGAGGAGAATCCTCTAATTACCGTCGTTCTTCAGCGCAGCTCCGCTCAACAAGGATCATCGGATCCTTCCAGAGGTACATCCTGGCTAACTGTTCCTCCTGGCTCGATTTCTGATGGTCCATGCGGCCCAGAAGCGGCGGCCCGATGCTGAAAAGTGGAATCGTAGAACCAAAACCTCTGTCAACAAGCGACCTCTGGAGCTGTGCAACTGTGCGTTCTGGCCGACAGTTCTAGGCGAATCTGCTCCGGGGCCGCGTGGGCGCCCCGGGAGCTCGGCAACAAGAGGTCAAACCGTGCAGACACGTGCGTCCCCGCTCCTCGCGCCGAGGATCGCGGAACGGCGGGGGACGAGGGAGTGGGAGGAGAGGCGGAGGAGGCAGAGCAGGCCCTCGAGACCTTCGTGCCCACCCCCAGCTTCCGCTCGGTGAGCTGCTTGCAGTGCTGCGAGGTGAGCTCCGCCGGGCTCTTGCGGTTGTCGTTCTGGGGCGGCACGAAGCCGCTCGTGAACAGGTGGTTGAGCTCCTCGGAGGGCGGGGGCCGCTCGGGCCGCGGGAGGCGACCGAGCGGCCGAGCCCCCCTCTGGAGACGTGCGCGCTCCCCTGGGGAGCCCGCCCGGCATGCCCGAGCTGCGTCGGGCCGCCAGCGCGAATCGCCCCGAATCGCCCCTCTGACCCTGGCGCTGCAGCCTCTTCGACAGCACGCAAGAGTGACCCTGGGCAATAGTGACCTCTGGTGCGCGGCTTCTGCAAGGGACCAGGGAGGGGGGACCAAACAGACGCGCGCAAGACGCTGCCGTCGCACCGCGTTCGGCGACCGGGGGACCCCATTGGGCCCACTTTAAAGAAGACTCCAGCGAAAGGTCACTCTGGCGAAAGGTCACTTAAAAGATCACTCTGGCGAAAGATCACTCTGGCGAAAGATCACTCTGGCGAAAGGTCGACCTTCTCACCACGGGCGTTTCTGCCCGGTTTTTGGGCCCCTGGGGCCCTCGCGGATCGACCCGGCGCGGAGAGATCCGGCAGGAAGCTGGGGCCTGGGGCTCCGGCCGTGGCTTGTGGCGATGTGGTGTACTTTTGGCACAGGTCGGACCTCAGAGGATCGGAGCATCGGGTCCGACCGCCGCGCCTGGCTCCAGCCGGCCCTGGCCGATGCCAGTGGGTCGCATCGCACAGGAGTCGCGGCCCCAAGCGGCGAATCGCATCGCATCGAATGGGGTCGTAGGCGGCCCTGCGGTGCCCATCATGGCGTGGGCGGGAGCTTTTTTCCGTTTCTTTCCCTGCCTTGGGTGATCGTCAGAACGGTAACTCCTGCGCGTAGCCGACGCGCGACGGAAGGGCCCGAGGGGCCGAATGAAGCGAAGGACGGACCCAGGAACCGGAGAGGGTGCTGGGGGTTTGGGTGTGGCTGTCACTCGGAGGCGGCCTGTTGCAGTGCTTCCGACACGGAGGTGTCACTAAGAGGGGCGAATCCATGCACCCTCTTGGCGCACTCTCTCGACACACCCTGCGTCTTGAGGCGCCCGCTCGGTTCTGATGCATCCTCCGCCTTGGTGTGGAGGGGATAACCCTGTACTGGTGAGGATACTCCCATGGGGATAATAAAGTTCGGGGTCCAGGCGGGATAATCATTCCCTACCTAGGCTCTGCCTAGAAGGGTTCTTACTCTGTTTGCTTAAAGGGCCGGGCAGTGGGGCACGCCCCAGGCGGTTCCCCCGGCATCCGCCCCGCGGTTCCCCCAGTGACATTCCCTTAGCTTCGCGTTGCTTATCTCTTCTTAGCTTAGCTTATTTCATCATACCTCAGCTTAGCTTCATCTTACCTTAGTTCTATTCCCTACCTAGGCTTTGCCTAGAAGGGTTCTTACTAGGTTTGCTGAAAGGGCCGGGCAGTGGGGCACGCCCCGGGCGGTTCCCCCGGCATCCGCCCCGCGGTTCCCCCAGTGACGTTCCCTTAGCTTCGCGTTGCTTATATCAGCTTTGCTTAGCTTATTTCATCTTAGCTTAGCGTAGCTTCATCTTAGCTCAGGTTTATCTTAGCTTAGCTTACCTTCATCTTAGCTTCGCCGAGCTTTAGCATAACATAGCACAGCATAGCATAGCAGAGCTTAGCACAGCACAGCGCAGCACAGCATATCATAGCAAAGCCCAGCATAGCACAGCATAGCGCAGCATAGCACAGCACAGCACAGCACAGCACAGCATATCATAGCATAGTATATCATAGCATAGTGCAGCTTATCATATCATATCATAGCATACCATAGCTTAGCATAACACAGCGCATCATGACATAACATAACATATCATAACATACCATAGCATAGCATAGCGCAGCATAGCATAACATAGCATAGCATAACATAGCGCAGCACAGCATGGCATAGCAACTCATGCTGCTTTCCTAGGGGCTCCAACTTCTAGGTAGGGTCGCACTGGGGTATTTTTTTCCCTGGACGTATCGATGTCAGGATGGGACTATTCGTGTCCGAGCAGACGGGGTCAGAAAATGGCCCCGCATCGCCGATGCCGCGGGGATGCACCAGCGACATCAGGATGGAAAAGATCGGGCTCCGAGTCGAGCTAGAACAACTGGTCAGGGTGGCTTCTAGAACACGCATCCTGGCTGCCATGAGGATGGAGAGGGAGGGCGGGCGGGGATGGATGGTGAGGGAAAGGGAAGCAGGCGGGCGATCTCCTCGAGGGAGAGCTGCTCGAGCACGTGCTTCATCGTGACGTCCTGTCAGGCGCCCCCAGCGAGAGAGGCATGGATTGAAGGGGGGAGAAGGGAGGATGGGCAAGAACAACGGACAAGCTCGTCGGGTCTCCGCCGTGACGGCGTCGGCCCTGGTTTCTGCCACCGCATGAAGCCGAGCCGCTCAGTCCTGAATCGGCGATCGACATCTTGTCCATGCCCCTGCTCACGGCGGAACTCCACCAGGGGGCGGATCGGGGGCACGGATGACCATCCAGCCTGTTTTGGCCGAGTTTTGTACAGTCGGACGTGATTGGACAGGACACGCGAGAGGTCACAAGACCCTTTCGAGGGCCACATTGCCACAAGAATGTCGGAGGCGTGGGCCGCGAGACACGGGACATAAGGGCACCCTGGATTGGGCAGGGTCGACCTACTATTATGTCGTGCGTGTCCCCCTACACGGGGATTTTCGACGAAAAATGAAAAAGTATGCCCCAAGAAGGCCCCAAAACATTACGCAAAAAAATAGCTCCCAGACAATTTCTGAATCATTTTTGGTATTCCCCATATC